TGAAGGTGCTCATGCCATGAGTAGGCTGTAGCAATGGCTAAATGCTATAACTAAAAGGGATTAACATGACCCTTCCTATGTCATCTGAGTTCACGCCTGCATTCCGAAAATAATCGCCAATTAACACCCTTCTGGTGTATAAATATTACAAAAGAAAAAATTAAGAATGAAAATGAATATTACCCACAAAAATATAAACCCAAACAGGGTTCACAATTACAAAAATTACCCAAAATAAGGGTCACAAACAAAAGGAAAAATTAAGAATGAAAATGAATATAACCCACAAAAATATAAACCCAAACAGGGTTTACAATCACAAAATTACCCAAGATAAGGGTCACAAATATTACAAAAAAAAATGTTACCAATTGAGGTACAAAACCCCTAACCTGATACCAACAATGGTATCCAAAAAAAGAAAGAAAATAAAAAACAATATAAAAAAAACGAAAAAATAACCATAAAGGTACAATAAAAACCAAAACTAATAAAAATCACTACTAACAAAACATAAAACATCCCACTACCCTGTTATTCGATTGATCCAAAGAAACGTATTCCGTCTTCCCGAACTCCTCTCATTCCTTACTACTCATCAATTGCTACTAACCGCTAGAATAGAGACATTTTTATATTAAAGAATCTTCCAATCATTTTCAAAATTTTGTATGATCAGAATAAATGTGAAAATTTCGGTGTAGAATTTTGACTTACTATTCTCTGTTTTAATTTTGCTAAGAAAATAACATCTAAAATTATTTTCAAAATGTTATAAAGTAAAAAATGTAAAAATATTAATAATATTAAAAATGGTCGTGTATGGTATAATGTTTTTAGAAAACTATTTAGTAAACAATTAGAATACTACAAAAAAAATAGAATACTACAAGTCAATAGTTTATGATCATTTCTTAGGATCTGCCTCTGTGCAGCCGCACAAGCATACGCCATATTCAATTTGGACTCTCCTATTTTAACAATTCGTGATGGCTATGGCTGGGTGATTAACGGACAGTTCAAATTAATCCATAATATAAATTTGCAGCTTTATGAAGACATACTAAATCGACTGAAGGATGAGAACAACAAGATGAATGAGACCACTAAAATAAAAGGTATTATTGCTTTGAAAAAAATTCGCATTCAACTTAATGAGCTGAAAGGACTTAAGACAGCGAGACTAAAACGTTCAATAACTGGATTGGATCGGCCTGGAAATGGATTGCTGGGTCACCAGATGCAATAGATTGGAATGAAATTATGCGAAGCCAAGATTCACTAGTCTCTAATAACAATCTGAAAAACAAAATAAACTCCGAAATTTCCACGAAAACCCAAGAACTTTTGCGGACCATAAATGGAATCATTACTACAACAAATGTTATAGTGGGATATAATATTCAAGCTAAGTCCTCACAAGAAATACAGCACACGATACTAAAGGAAGATGTGGATGAATTAGTACGAGCTTGTCAAATGGCCAAGGCCAAAGTTGTAAACACTAATAGGTGAAATAAATGTTCTTCCCTACAGTAACATCTTCGAAGCCATTGAATACAGCGAGCCTTCTATATATACTAATGGCACCCACCTACTCTACATACTATCAATGCCGAAGGTAGCGGAAACCAAATTCAATCACCTAATTGTACGAGCACTTTTAAAGGAAGGCCAGAAAGTGGACGTGACTTATAGGACAATACTGATGAACAAGGATGAAACCTATGGTGTCAAAGACAAGTGTCTTCGTTTAACCAACGCTATGATCTGTATAAGGAAAGGCTTGATCAGCTGCCAGAGGATGATTGCATTACAAGACTTTTGAAGGGTGACAAAACAGCTTGCCGCTATGTAACCAGTTCTGAATCAAAAGTCGAATTACATAAAGATGACACAATATTCTTGGATAACTTTAACAGTAGCATTTGGTCCAACGCAACTCCCATCATCTCGATGGATCCTTTATTCTACAAATGGAAAATGAATCATTAAAAATCAACAACAAAATCTATTGGAGTTTGAACAGTTCTGGTCAAACTATCACAAATAAGAGCCTATCCGTTAACCTCAATCTCGTACATGAAATGGCTTCGACAAATATACAACTTTTGGGCTATTTAAAGGAGAAAACTACGTGGTTCATGATGTCAGGATCATTGGGACTATTCGGACTAATGGTGCTTATTTGGATAACCTGGAGAAAGTTAACAACGAAGAAAAACCTACCCAAACTGAACCTCCCAATAATACAACAAAACGCCTCCTTACATCCTGATCTGCGTGACGTAGATTTTTAGAGGGGGGAGAGTTAACACACTTCAATATCTTCAAACTACTGTGCTGCGATGTCTCATACTTACACGTGCCGCTAAGTCAGCACTTTTGATCCAGTTGCGAAACGGTAATACGATATGTTCCCACAGTCATCGAACTCGTGCACTAGGCCTACCGTCAGCATAATGCACCTGTGGGAAATATTTAAATAAGCATAATTTGGACGTCACTGCCAACAACGTGAGGTTTGGAGTCAACAACTACGAAGGCCAGAATTCAGTTGGAGTTTGGGAATAAGAAGTGTCGCGTTAATTTTATTTTATTTATAATCAAAATTAATGAAGTAATTTAAATTAATAATTCTTGCCTTTTTACTTTTGCCATCAACTGTTGTTGTCGAGTTGTATTTTTTATCTTAACCAGGACTCTCGTCCTTAACTTATATATATATATATACATCCTGATCTGCGTGACGTAGATTTTTAGAGTGGGGAGAGTTAACACACTTCAATATCTTCAAACTACTGTGCTGCGATGTCTCATACTTACACGTGCAGCTAAGTCAGCACTATTGATCCAGTTGCGAAACGGCAATACGATATGTTCCCACAGTCATCGAACTCGTGCACTAGGCCTACCGTCAGCATAATGCACCTGTGGGAAATATTTAAATAAGCATAATTTGGACGTCACTGCCAACAACGTGAGGTTTGGAGTCAACAACTACGAAGGCCAGAATTAATAAAGTAATTTAAATTAATAATTCTTGCCTTTTTACTTTTGCCATCAACTGTTGTATTTTATCTTAACCAGGACTCTCGTCCTTAACATATATATACATATATATATTTTTTTTTCAACAGATTGACGGATATTTATATATCGCCATAGAATTTTATTCTGATCTAGAATATATATATATATATATACTTTATGAGGTCTTCGGTGAATGTTTCAAGGTGTTGCAAACAAAATGACAAATTAATATACACTCCACCTTATAGTGGAGGTTTAAAAATCGTATAGCTGCACCAGCATATCGAAAATAGGGCTTATGTTTATATAAAGTTTATGTGAAAATATAGACCAATGCGAATGAGTTTTATACGGAATTTGCGCCTAAGACTATGAAATTACCTAGCATTCTAGATTTGGTAACATTATAGTGTGGTCATCTGTCCCAACTTGGCCTCGTTAGTACGCGTTCCGCAAGACATGCTCTTGTATGGGAAGTTACAAAAATCTTTTAAAAGCTTATAACTCGCGAAATATGAACATATTGCATATAATTTAAATTCGTTTCTATAAAATGAAGTGTTCTTGTCAAAATCTTAAAATATTGGTAATAAATAATAAGTTGCGTGGAAGCTGTGGTGATGGTAATGTAGAAAAATGGGTAAAAAAGGGTTAAAGCCAACGAGTTTTTTGTGTTCGTTGATTTTTCGATATAATCACTGCATCCAACAAAAACGGATGCTGACATTTTGAAGCCGGATTTTCGATGTTTTTTGGATTTTTTCTTATAATTGGGACGCGCATCCAAATAATGGGCTAAAGTAATTATAGGATTGTAGAACTCATGATTTTACTTCGTTTGGTGTATATCTCATGAATGTGCTCACCGTAGCTTCTTTGCAATTGGATTCCAAAGACGAAAATTTGGTATTTTGAGTCTAAATTTAAGAAGGTCCACTAAATATCGTTGAACCCCGCGTGATTTTAGTTATTTTAATTCCCGAATCTAATGAGCCCAGCCATGTTCAATTCCGACCAATAAAACGGCGTATATAGGTACCCTGAATGTGGGAAAAACATCAAAAACGTATTTTGACAAATTCGCGTATATAATCGCGTTTTTCTTCGAATAGATTTTACGTACATTCATGTTTGTATTATCATATTCGCGAATCTGTGTAAAAATAGGTCAAAATACATCAATACGCGAATAATATGCGTATCTAATCCAAAATTGATTGTGGCGGAACATCCGCGGTTTTTAACCAATCCTTTTAAAATTTGTTTATTTTTATGTATTTTCGTAGGAGATTACTGAATCCTGATGCGCATAAAAATCTTATGCACGTTGCGTAATTTTTAGCCATTTTTAGGGTTTTTGCATAGTAAAGTGCATCGAGCGGCACACTTTGGCCGCTAAATGAAACATCGAAAAATTCATAATTATTGGAAGAGATTGATTCGGTTTATAGGAAAACCGCATGCGCATCAACTGATTTCAACGAATACGCGAATTGTTTTTTTTTTTTAATATTGAGCCATACTAAAAAAATCCAAAATTCAAAAAACGTTTTGTTTTAATTTAAAAATTAATTTATTTCTTTTTTTATTACAACAAATAGGAATTCATTTCATTTATATTTGAAATGCAAGATTTAAAACCGCTATAACTTTTGTGCGCAGCACCCGAATTTGTGATCGCGAACCGATTTTTAATCAGCGTATTTTCCTTTAACCATAGGAGTTAACCTATATTAACCTTTGTACCAAAAATCATGAATGTTATCGCAAAAAAATTTTTTTATGGAATTTAAAAAAAAATTGTAATTTCCCATATATATGATATATGTAGTATATTAAATATTTTTTTATTTTGCGTATAGCAATATTAAAGGTAATACATATTGCAATTTCTTAAAAATTTGTTTCTAATTATTAAATCTAATATTTAGCAATTTTTTAGAAATTCCAGTCACAAATTGTTAATACTAAAGACTTTGTAGTATTTCTTCGATGGGCTTGCCTTTAGTTTCAGGCACAAAAATTCCAATAAATATAGCCCCGATGAAACTGCAGGCCGAAAAGAAAAACATTATTCCATGCATGCCGATCAACTCCGAAAACAGTCCCATATACTGAAATGAAATATGGTAATAAAATGTATTAAAAATGAAAAAATACCGATGCATTCCCATTACTACACTTACTTTTAGGAGGAAGAATGAATAAACCCAGAGGGATAACATGCAGATCATGCATCCGAGATTTCGAACTTTGGGCGGCATTATTTCTGCTACCACCACAAAGGGAAGAGTTATAACACCCCAACATCCAATAAATATTATGAAAGAGAAACAGGCCACCGGAATCCAGGATCCAGTTGTAAGGTCACCCAAACACATAAATAAACCCAGACATAAGAGTCCGGTGCCAGTACCAATCACCGATACTATCAGCAAAATCTATAGAACGTTAAAAACATGGAAGTGTGTTTTTGTTTAAAATATTAACAATGTTTAAAATATTAAAGACGAAAAATTAGCGCTGTATAAATATATTAGACTTACTTTTCTTCCCGCCCGTTCCACTAACAGAGTTGATACATAGGTGCCAACAAGCTGTATAACTCCAACTACAATGGCCGATTGATTCGGCGGCAATGTTGAACCGGAGTTCTTAAAGATGGTTGCAGTGTAATTTAGCATAACAAAACACCCACAAAGCTGGTTGATAGCCATCAAAGCTATACCAATCCAAAGAGCTTTTCGTGCCTTGGGCTCAGCTAAACATATAAAAAAGGACAAACGATAGACATTTCTTAAAATTAACTATTTTTCGATTAAAATGAAGTGTTTTTATTAATTAACCATACTACTTTACCATTGAATCTTGAAATATATTTTGACAGATTTGACACTTTACTTCAAGCCATACAACTTACCAAAATCCCTTAGACTGGCATTAGTTTCACTCTTCTCCATTGTGTGATCACCACGTTTTTCCATTAAATTCTGTAGTTCGAGTTTGATCTTCGGATCCGTCTCCGAATTTTGATATGATATATTTCTAAAGAAACACAATGACTTTTCGGCTGCCTGTAAAATTACATATACATATGTTTCTATCACAATCAACTAGATTGTAAATTAAATCTGCAAATATAAATACCTTTACGTCATTTTTCCTTGTCAAATATTGCGGACTCTCAGGCACGAATAGAACACCACAAAGAAATGCCAGTGGTAATGTCGATAGAATCCATGCAACAATCCGACAGGATAAGTAGGTACCCAAAATAAATGCCACCAAAACTCCCACATTACAAAATAGTACTAAAAATGTTCCGACTGTACCCCGAACGCTAAGTAAACACAATGATTGAATTATGACTTTCATAATATTATATATATATAGTTAGAGAAAGTTCAAATCAAGTCCATATTCTTATCGTTGTCTTATGTTGAGATAGATAATAAGGAAAACTTGTGACTACAATGTATTATCATAACGCATTCTGATCCCAGCACGAAGTGTTTTTGCATAACTTTTGGGATTCATATATACGCTCATAAAAATAAACTATAATAAAAACAAGCATCCCTCTGGAGGATGTACCACAATGGAGTCCATAATTGCACTAATAGTACAATTACATTTAACCGAATTTCTTTAACCCAGTGGGTTTCAATTGTCAACTCCTTTGTATATATGTCAAATAAATCCTCATAAAGTAGGTTAACCCGGTTCTAAGTTCTAATGTACATGCCGTTTAAATTTATGTTCCGTATAAATATTAAAATGTTCACCAAGAGAATTGCAAATTTTTCAAATCTTGGCCCTTTGTGGGGAGGTACCACAGAAGCGATTAAAGTATTACGATAGTAGTAGAGGTATTAGATTAAAAAAATTTCAGAATGTTTAGGCTTTTTTAAGGGAGGTACATTGAACTTGATATAGATTTGGTACAAATATTAGGTTGTGCAAAGTTTGGGTGATTTACCAATATTTTGGAAATTCCTTTTCAGTTTGAAAGACATGTAACGATATGAAAATGTTGGATGAAAGCCTATATAAGGTCGGACAGTTAGCACAGGGGAGTATAATGTTTGCTGTCAAATCATATTTTAAAACCTATACATACATACAAAATTAAGTTAGACGTCAAAAAGAAAATTTTAATATTTTGTCAACATTCAATTCAATTTTAATTTCTGAAGCACATTTGGACTATTTCAAGAGTTTTAAGAAGATTTTCAAGTAAATTATCCTACAAATTATAAATTGTGTTGTGTTTTTGGCCGTGTTTTTTTTTTAAAGTGAAAAAATTATTTTTCGCCTCGGCAAATAAATTGACGTTGAAGTTAAAGTTTTCTCTATGAATTCGCTTACTGGCCGACCTTATATAGGCCTTGTGTTGGATCAAATCGGTTACACTTTTTGAGAGTTATCGACCGGAGTTAGACCCTTGGTGTCTATGTTCTAAGTCCGAAGTACCACATATTTTCTATTAATGATTCAATTACAAATTTTTATTCTAATGTCAGATGTCAAAAATCATATAAGATGCGAATATGTTTTACAATTTTGAAGAACAAGAAATCATCCAGACTCGACTCCATATATACGCCCATGTGCTGCATTTCGAGTTTGCTCGAATGTGAAACATTTTCCCAAATTTGATGTGCTCCATTCCGAATTCCCAAACCAGTAAGGAAAGTAGTAAAGTCGGACTGGGCCGACTATATGATACCCTTCACCACTTTGGGGATATTCTACATATGTATCTTTACACATATCGTATTTTCGAAGGAACTTTACGCACGCTATTTGGTATGCTTCACTGTTTAAAATATAATATCAATCAAGCACCCATTGATTATTTGGTTTACAATCAACATGAATTTATACTAATTTCAGTACGTTTTGCCAATCAAACTTGCTATGGGTCTTTTGTACACCATTTACTTAAAATCGGACGAAAGTATATAGGAGGTATATGCAAATCTGAACCAATTTCAAGAAAACTTGACACACACAAGGTTACAGTAATTTCAGTACATTGTACAAAATTGTGTGCGGGTCGGCCAATCATTGGTGCACAATTTAGATTAAATCGAACGAAAATATATATTGGAGCTATATCTAAATCGGAACCGATTTTCACGAAACTTAGCACACATCATTCTGGACCCAATTCAGTACCCTCTGCTGAATTTCGTGCAAATCGAAAGATATAGAGGGACTTTGAAGACCCATTTACATTAAATCGGATGAAAATATATACGGGAGCTATATCTAAATCTGGACCGATTTTCAAGAAACTTAGCACACATCATTCTAGACCTAATTCTGTGCCAAATTTCATGCAAATCGAATGGTATATAGGGACTTTGGTGCCCCATTTACCTTAAATCGGACGAAACTATATATGGGAGCTATATCTAAATCTGAACCGATTTTCTCGAAAATTGGCACACATCATTCTGGACCTGATTCAGTACTCTGTGCCAAATTTTATGCAAATCAAAAGATAAAGAGGTACTTTGGTGGCCCATTTACCTTAAATCGAACGAAAATATATATGGGAGCTATATCTAAATCTGAACCGATTTTTCCCAATTTCAATAGGGTTCGTCCTTGGGCCAAATAAGTGACTTGTGCCAAATTTCATCCAAATCGGATTATAAATGCGACCTGTACTTTGTTTACAATTTAACATCTACAGACGGACGGACATGCATAAACCGACTCAGAAAGTGATGCTATGCATATTCTCAAAAGGAATCATGTGTCTATCTCGTTTCCTTTTGCCTGTTACAAACATATGCACAAAGACATAATACCCTGTACCACAGTGTGGTGAAGGGTATAAAAAATATTGGGAATATAATTCGAGCACATATAGCTTTGTGGATTGAAAACGAAATGAGATCGTACGTAGATCTGAGATCTGAAAAATAACGCTGAAGTAATATTTAACGTGTTTTTACAATATTTATTTAAAAAATACAGTATTTACATGATTTTTTATAGTAAAATTAAAGAAAATAAAAAGGGCTCCTCCTGGTCTGCAGCTGTCCACAGCTTGCACACACTTTGTCTTCCCGGACTTTCATTACTCTCCGAAATATTTTACACATTGTTGTGCGATCAACACTTAATTTTAAATCATTTGCCACTACCCTCTGAAACCCACCAACAGCCAGAAATCTTAAGGTAGCTGCTAACTGCAGGCTTTCGGGAATGGTACCCTTATGTATGCAAGGACCAACTTCTCTCAAAATATCCATAAATGCTTATTTTAACACGTTCCAGTATCATTAGACTTTTTCTAATAGAAACCAGGGCAATTAATAAGCCAGCAGGCATATTTTTTTCTTAATTTTGTTGTTAAACAAATTGCAAATTCTAATGAAACATATGTTTTTTTATTGAACACATTTCGTAACATATTGAACACAGATATGATTTCGAGCCGCACTTTCGCTCGGAATTGAGCACACAATTTTGCACAACATGGGAATTTAAAAAAGTACGGGAATTCAAAAACTCTCGAAACATGTCACATGGGCGATAATTTTAAAATTCGTAAGCTTCAAAATAATTCATTTGAGTTTTTAACAATTATCTTTAATATCTGTTATGTTACAGCTACATGAAAAACCAGTAAATTGGTTTAAAATATAATAGAATCAGAAAAGTTTTTTCGAAACGAATGTATGATTTACATTACCATACAGTATGTCAAGAATGAATTTACACACATGGATAAATATTAAACATTTTCAAATATAGAAGCTCGAAATAACACTAAGTATAGAAGTTCAAAATAATACTAACATGGTAGTTAGCAGCACCAGAAACGCATTGTACGATCAGGAGTGTCGTAATGCTACAGATGTGAAAAACAAAGCGTATAGGGCAACCCTGCAGACAGTAGCAACACGTAGTGCGATGGAGAGAGGAGAAACGTGTTTTCAGAAAGAACAAGAAAAACGTGAGCGTGAGAAAATCCAGATGCACAGGAGTCAGAATGAATTCCGGAAATTTTACCAACAAGTTAAACACCAAACCGAAGGTTTTGGTGCAGGCACATCCTCCTGTAGAGATGAGAAGAAAACCTGGCTACAGATACAGACAGCGTGTTGAGGATCTGGAAGGAGCATTTTGAGAGCTTCTGGTATCAAATAGTGGCAGTAAAGAAGATACCAGAGAACCAATAAGAGATGATGGTATAGAATGTATACCACCTAGCCATGATGAGATCAGAATAGCAATCAATCGGCTGAAGAATAATAAAGCAGCATGTGTGGATGGGTTGCAAGCCGAACTATTCAAGACTGGTGGTCAGATGCTGGTTAGGAGCATGCACCAGCTGATTAGGAGTTAGGGGGTTTCGTTTCATGGAAACAAAGATAGGCGCACAACTATATTTATACTTTTAACAGGGACAACAAGCCACATTATCATAAGTCACATATAGTGCGGCTGTGGATTCTTTATAACCGTGTGCAAAGTTTTGGATACAGCAGCACAATGTCCCGAACTGAACCATATAAAAAATCTGTGGTAGATGCTAAGAGCGACATTTTTGACATACTGTGTATAACAAATTGGCATTGCGGGTTTCCTAAGCCTATGTGTACCGCGAATGATTAGGATTGGGTCCTCATGTTATAAAACTATTTAAGAGATTCTTAAGAAATAGGAAAATTTTCGACTTATTTCAAAACCAATTGTCTTATTTTTTTCAGATGTAAACTGTGGTGGAACAATCTTTGGACACTTGATACAATGAATTCTCCGTTCGCGTTACTGTCAGTTTTCTAAGTGAATTTGATAAATTCACTGTAATTTGATTTGATGGTAGGAAATTAACTTAACCCGCTGCCTTTTCGGTGTTTTGAGATTTTAAAAAAAAATGTCCATTGAAAGTGACTGCAATTAAGTATTTCTGTTGCCCTGTGATTTTGTAAAATTCACATAGAAAACGTTGTCGACACAAGACCACATTTATATTATATATACCCTTTATAAACATCAATTATAGTATAGTGTCATGTGGGATTGGAAACTTCATTGGAACTATACCATTTTTCAACTTTTTTCTTTTGGTTAGTTATTTTTTTAAATAAAATTGTACTCACTTATCATCAGATATTTCAGCTGTGTATATTGGAATTATTGAAAATGTCCCTCCTCCAGAAAAACCGCCCATTAACCTTGATATCGCCAAGTGTATGGACGATTTTGCAAATGGAACAATTAGCCAACCCAACTAGTTTCATCGAAATAACATTTGGAACTTTTAATTTAATTTTCTACTATTTAGTGTTTGATTACTCACCAAAGCAGGCAGAGCCAGGAGCAGCAGACACGGCTTCCGACCAATTTTATCGGCGCTCCAAGAGAAAAATGCCGTTCCAAATGAACCACCCACACAGAGCATTGATCCAATCCATCCTGCATCGTCGCCTATTAGAGGCTCAGAACCATTTGCGTCGGCCGATTGAAGTTCTACAAAACTAGCCGAAGCCCAGCCAACAAATGCCCCATACGATATGGAAATAATGTTAGCTGAAGCAGAACAAAATCGTAACAATAATGTTAGGTATACAAGCTTTTATTCTATTTGTTAGGCCATATCTGAGAACTCCTTTGAAATGGAAGCTCCGTAAATATTTTTCCAAAGAAATTTGAAAATGTTTTTCAGAAACTATTAACGCTTACCACAAAGACCAGTTATATATTGATTCCGAGTTTGTGACGACATGTCAAGGCACTACAATCCGTTTAGAAATTGAAATATGTCTAGCTAACAGCGGGATGTTATCGCTAACATGGGTGACTTTGACTAATGACAATGAGTAGTTGAGATGTCTCCCAAGTGATTCTGTGCTACAGCTTCAAGTAAATATTTCATTTTATCTTTATTTCAGTACATACAAAAATGTATACACACAAACAAAGATAACCAGCGAACTGAATGAGATCAAAGAACCAGACGAAGTAATTTGGGAGCAAAGCATTTCTTCTGAATCTCCCTTTCTTAGTTTATTATCCGAGAATTTGTATGCTGATGAATACATTCATCGCACATCGATGAATGAATTTTTAATAATTTGTCTTTGTTGAAAAAAATTATATAGAATAATTAGTTGGTATATTCTCTATAAGAATCGGAAATAATTTTGGGTTATTTAAGGATATTTTTGATATGACATGTCTTCAGTCAATTCAAATGTGTACTTTTTGTAAACCATATCTCCTTTCAATCTCGAGTCGTTGTAAACCTTTCCTTTATTTATTTATTTATTTATTTTTTTGAGCCGTGAACTATATGATATGTGACAATTTTTTTTATTTACAAATATTCTCGAAAAAAATCGAATATTGTGAAGAATTGTCGGATTTCTCTAAATTATTTACAATAAATTATGTCAATCAAGTTAATGACTACCCACAAAATCTTTATTCAAAAAATCAATTACATTTTTTCTCTAATTAAAAAAATAAATTTATTTAACTAATATTTTGATTGTTAATTTCTTTTGACGAATAAGCATCAAGGATTTTATGGGTGATTTCTTTAAATCTTGTGGTAGGTCGTTCGGCTTCAATTCTTGCACTATCTGTATTTTGAAAGACTTGATACCTAAATCTTTCCGCAAAACTGCCACGTTTTGAGTCTGGATTTACAAACTTTGTTCGTTTGTAAGACGTTTCATGGTTTTATTATAGACCAAACTGAAGACGTTTGACAGTGAAATAATTCACGATACGTTCGCGAGCATGATTAACCTAGGTTTGCGTAAAAGATAGAAGCTAAAAAGTTGCCCTTCATATTATCTAAAAATTAATAAAAACACCAGTAGAAAAAAACCCCGTTGTGTTTAGTGTACCAGAATGTGGGCACTGCGATTGTGTTATTGTTCTCCAGTACATTACGATTCCATACACTACGGCACCATAGTGTTTCTTTCCAAATACAGTTTATTAATAAAACAAACTACAAGGATTTGTACCAGATATAGGTTTACTAACATTTTGTTAGGACTTCGACTTCGGCTGGACCGAGAATTCATTATATGGAAGTTCTCAACCTACTGAGAATCTGAGACCTATACTAAATCGTAGACCATATTAATAACGCTACTAAAACGTTTTGCTGGGTTTTAAGTAAATATAGGTAATTGTATAGTACATTCTTACATTCTTTTTAGATAAATCCCCATATAAAAACCAGATTAAAGATTTGGTAATTACTTTTGTCTATACCAAATTTGTCGATCTAAATAAGACACAAAAACTGGTACATTTGTTGGCGATTCTAAAAATGCAAACGAGACAATAAAGTACATGTATGTATATAATATTATGAATATTGTCTGAGTATATTAGTATAGCAAACAATATACATAATCTATCTTTATATTGCACGATTTCTAGTGTAATTATCTCTTATATTTATTTTAGCAGCAGAATATAAAAAGTTTTATTTCCACAGAGATGTGAGCGATAACATTGAATCACAGCGAATACAAATGATTGTCCGATTAATACAATTTAGTAATAAACATTAAAACACATCCACGTATATATCAGCAAATATTTACTAAAAAATCCGGTAGTTATAATACTGGAGTATTAGGTTTAGATTTTCCAGAGAATGCCTTATCGACAGTGTAATCAAAAATTACTACAAACATGTAAAAAGAGCTTAGCCTATGGTTTGCCTTATCGGCAGTGTAATAGTGCTTAGCCTACGGTTTGCAGCCGAACTTTTTATACCCTCCATCATGAGGATGACAATCAAAATATCTATAATTAGTGGGGTCTCTTAGGAGGAAAATCATGTTATGATAGGACCTTGAACTTACCTAAAAATGCGTTAGAAAAATGTGATTACAATTCTCAAAATATCTAATAGTGGGACTATAATAAAACTGAGATCAATATTGATATTTTTGGTAGTCAGATTTGACAGCCAATGAGAATAAAGAATAGCCAACTTGATTGAAAAACGTGTCCAAAATTCTCAAAATACCGACTTGGGTCAATATTAATAATTTTTAGTGCGGATACCGTAATGAGAACCCCACATTGCTGGGTGTCATATTATAGTGGCTACCCTTAATCGTGGGTCAATATTAAACATTTTCAGTACGGAAATGGTGTATACAATGAAAATCAAAAATACAGACATGTTTGTCGGAAAACGTATCCAAAATCCTCAAAATACAGAGAATTGGGGAGTGCCGTTACATGGGGCCTATCCTGAAACTTGGGTAAATGTGAATAATTTTTGGTACGGAGGTGTGCTATACACCTTATATGGGGGGGCTACATCAAAACGTGGACCGATATACCCATTTGCAATACCAAATATCCTAGGAGTACTAGCGAAATTTCAGAGCTCTATCTTAAATATTGCGACCTCTATCATGATTTCTACAGACGCACGGACAGGCAGACGGACATACGTAAATCGACGCAAAATTTTATTATGATCAAGAATATTTAATTTGCGGGGTCTCCGGTGAATATTTCGAGGTGATGCAACCCAGCTTATGGTATAAATAAAAAATCCATAAAGAGGTCAGATTCAAATATGAAAATATGAAGTTGGGAGAAAGCATCATTCCTCGTTAATTACTATTGACTTTAGAAAACTTTAGAAAAGGCAAGGAATGAACTGGTCGATCAATTTATTTTCGACATAAGATATATTTCTGTTGCAACAGAATCATTCATATTTATACCCTTCACCACACTGTGGTACAGGGTATTATGTCTTTGTGCATATGTTTGTAACATCAAAAGGAAACGAGATAGACACATGGTTCCTTTTGAGAATATGCATAGAATCACTTTCTAAGTCGATTTATGCATGTCCGTCCGTCTGTCCGTCTGTCCGTCTGTCTGTCCATGTATTTTTGTGAGCAAAGTACAGGTCGCATTTATGATCCGATTTGGATGAAATTTGGCACAGCTCATTTGTTTGGCCCAAGGACGAACCCTATTGAAATTGGAAAAAATCGGTTCAGATTTAGATATAGCTCCCATATATATATTTAACCGATTTAATGTAAACGGTCCCTATATATCTTTCGATTTGCACGAAATTTGGTACAGCGTCATCATTTAGGTCTAGAATGATGTCTGCCAAGTTTCGTGAAAATCGGTCAAGATTTAGATATAGCTCCCATATATAGTATCGTCCGATTTCATGTATGTAAATGGTGCCCCAAAGTCTTTATATTTCTTTCGATTTGAACGAAATTTGGCATAATGTATTGAATTAAGCCTAGAGTGATGTCTGCCAAGTTTCGAGAATATCGGTCCAGATTTAGATATAGCTCCCATATATAGTTTCGTCCGATTTCATGTAAATGGTGCCCCAAAGTCCCTATTTATATTTCGATTTGCACGACATTTGGCATAACGTACAGAATTGAGCGTAGAATGATGCCTGCCAAGTTTCGTGAAAATCGGTCCAGATTTAGATATAGCTCCCATATATAGTTTCGTCCGATTTCATGTAAATGGTGCCCAAAGTCCCTATATATCTTTTGATTTGCACGAATTTTGGCATAACGTACTGAATTAAGCCTAGAGTGATGTCTGCCAAGTTTGGAGAAAATCGGTCCAGATTTAGATATAGCTCGCATATATAGTTTCGTCCGATTTGATGTAAATGGTCCACCAAAGTCGCTAAATATCTTTCGATTTGCACGAATTTTGGCATAAGGTACTGAATTGAGTCTAGAATGATGTCTGCCAAGATTCGTGAAAATAGGTCAAGATTTAGATATAGCTCCCATATATAGTTTCGATCGATTTCATGTAAATGGTGCACCAAAGTCCCTATATATCCTTCGATTTGCACGAAATTTGGCATAACATACTTAATTGAGCCTAGAATGATGTCTGCCAAGTTTCGTGAAAATCGGCCCAGATTTAGATATAGCTCCCTTTTATTATAGATTGATTTTAAGTAATTGACGTATTAAGGAACCAATAGGAACAAAACGTTCTGAAATTAGTATAACCTAACCTGTGACGAGTTTGCTTGAAATCGCTCAATATTTGGATAGAGCTTCCATATATATTTTCGCCCAATTTCAAGTAAATTGGGCATCAAACTCCTCATGTTAGTCAGATTGACATCAAATTTTGCACAACTTACAAAATTGAGCATAGAATTACGTAGTTGCGTTTTCTAGAAGTGCAGACATAGCCCAACGGATGACCTATTTATATTTGTTTGAAGTCGATTGACATACTTTATGGATAGATCTAGGTAGATTCACATTTAGATAAATATCAAATTTTTTTCATCCAATTTTATGTTATAGTCCTGTTTAATATACCCATAGTGGTGAAGGGTATCATATAGTCGGCGGAAAAAATCGGTTCAGATTTAGATATAGCTCCCATATATATATTTAACCGATTTAATGTAAACGGTCCCTATATATCTTTCGATTTGCACGAAATTTGGTACAGCCTAATCATTTAGGTCTAGAATGATGTCTGCCAAGTTTCGTGAAAATCGGTCAAGATTTAGATATAGCTCCCATATATAGTATCGTCCGATTTCATGTATGTAAATGGTGCCCCAAAGTCTTTATATTTCTTTCGATTTGAACGAAATTTGGCATAATGTATTGAATTAAGCCTAGAGTGATGTCTGCCAAGTTTCGAGAATATCGGTCCAGATTTAGATATAGCTCCCATATATAGTTTCGTCCGATTTCATGTAAATGGTGCCCCAAAGTCCCTATTTATATTTCGATTTGCACGACATTTGG